GAGTTGAGACTCTGGGGTCTGTTGTCTGTAAAGCTCCACCCATGACTCTTATGATTAACCAGATTCAGTAAAGACTGCGCCAAAGCCTGTGTGTCCAGAGTCCCCACAACCACTGGCTAGGTTTGATGATTTACATACTGGGAGAATTCTCAGGACTCCGCATATAGTTGTACTCATGGCTACAATGTATTACAGCAAAAAGATACAAAACATTGCCCGACTCCACAACTCTTTAACCCTTGGCTCTCATCTTCACTGAGAGGAATAGCTAGCTGGCTTGTAAATGCAGATGTCCTCAAAGATCACAGAGATAGTGGACCAGCAGATAGCTATTTATTAGCTTTTTATGTTATTTTCTCTTTTCGAGTTTTCCAAATAGGATTGCATTTTCTTTAATGTCTGGGAAGGCACAGTTATAAATAATGAGATTGGATGGTCAAGTCTCATATCATAACCAAGTCACTGAAAATGAATCACGTGACTCCACTTCAGAGCCCCTGAAAGAAATCATAATTTTGAAGCTCAACCTTGTGGGCCACCAGGAATATTCTTAGGCCTTCGTTTTATGTTAGCAATACTTTGTATGACACTTTAATTTTCTGCAGCCAGAGGCATCTCCCTGTATCTACAACTTCTCAAGATTACCCGGTAAAATACAGCTGTGTGCTTTCAGGCAGGTGGATGGCAAAATCAAAGGAAGAGATGATACTTTATTCCCATGGGAAATTTCCAGATGGAGAATCTGAGCATTTCATTATTCAACCTGCACATTTTCTTCTTTCTAAACAATTAGGCTTTCTCTTACATGCTTTTATATGTATTTACTTTTATCCAGTTCACTTATTCAGGTGAATAGTGGAACAGGATGTCCCTTGCACAAAATTTCTCTTGAACTTAATAATGACAGTCATTCATTCAGCTTACTTTTCAAGGTACAAAACTCCTTCTTGTTGGACTTGTTTTCTATTATTTAAATCACTTCTGTCATTCTTTTCTCTTTCCCCATTTTTGTACATCCCTAGAAGTATGGGCCAAAATTGAACTCAATGTTTTTCAACCCAAATATACTACAGTCTGACACATATTTAAATTCTTTACAAAACTGTTGAAAATTATATGTAATTTAATATTTATTTTTTAATATTAAAAAAAGATTAAACCTGTTTTCAATGTTTTCTTTTAAAAAGTCATTGGTATTACACATAACTTACTTCGACCGTGTATTGTAGTGTAATTCCTGGTCCGTTAAGAGACAATTTAAAAAATGTACATGTTTTAAAAAGCAAGGAACTTTGGCAGTAAATAAACTGATAAACATTCACTTTGGGCCAGCATCTGAAAACTGCTCTTTATGTCTAAGAGTAAGACACAACATTAAAAAAAAGGTATCTTGGTGTCAAACTCCCACTAACTGCAGATCTCTATGATTCTTCCTATACTTGCCAGGTGTATTAATTCATTTTCATGCTTCAGTAAAGATATTACCTGAGATTGGGTAATTTATAAACAAAAAAGGTTTAATTGGCTCACAATTCTGCATGGCTTGGGAGGCCTCAGAAAACTTAACAATCATGGTGGAAGGCAAATGATGTCTTACATGGCAGCTGGAGAGAGAGCAAGGAAGTGACACACTCTAAAACCATCAGCTCTCCTGGGAACTCACTCACTTTCATGAGAACAGAATGGGAGAAACCACCCCCATGATCCAATCAGCTCCCACCAGGTCCCTCCGTCGACATGCAGGGATTACAACTCAAGATGAGATTTGCATAGGAACAGAGAGCCAAACCATATCACCTGGCACTGAAAGCCACACTTTACTTCAACGGGAACTCCCCTGCATTGCCTGCTCATTTCTAGTTTGAGATCTACTGTAATCTCCAGCCTTTTTCTGCTATGCTCATCTCTCTCTCTCTTTTTCTTTCTTTTTCTTTCTTTCTTTCTTTCTTTTTCTTTCTTTCTTTCTTTCTTTCTTTCTTTCTTTCTTTTTCTTTCTTTCTTTTTCTTTCTCTTTTGTTTCTTTCTTTTGACAGAGTTTCGCTCTTGTTGCCCAGGCTGGAGTGCAATAGCATGATCTTGGCTCACTGTAACCTTAGCCTCCTGGGTTCAAGTGATTCTCCTGCCTCAGCCTCCCGAGTAGCTGAGATTACCGGCATGCACCACCACGCCTGGCTAATTCTTTGTATTTTTGGTAGAGACAGGGTTTTACCATGTTGCCCAGGCAGGTCTCGAACTGCTGATCTCAAGTGATCCACCCATCTCAGCCTCCCAAAGTACTGGAATTACAGGTGTGAGCCACTGCACCCCCCCTTCATTTCTACCTTTCGTTAAACCATCTGCCATTAAGTTGCTATTGAGCATCTTCCTGTATTTGTATTATTTCCTATATTGAGACTATTGCTAGCCTCAACAGCAAGGTAACAAATAATTATATTTCCATGACTTAAAATATTCCCAACCCCAGCTAATTTCATATTCTTAGGAAATTTGGTGAGATTGTTCTTGATATTTTCACCCAAGAAGTAAACATTTTGAACATCCTGAGCCCTGGGACTACTCTGGGTGGAGGATACGAGGGACAAGTCTAGAATATTAGGAGTTTTTACTGAGAATGCTAAAGTAGTAGCTACATAAAGTGCAGAGTGATACAAAATCCAAGAGTCGATGTTCCCCCCAAAGTGTGTTCTCAAACTATAAAAATAGCATTCAACAAAAACAAAAGAGAATTCCAAACAATAAAGAATGCTTAGAAGAAAATGTGTGACTTTATTTGAGAAGTGACTCTTTCAATATGACCAGGCTCAGTTGTTCAACTGCAAGGCAAGTGTTGTGGTACAGTGATGTCAGAGAAAACACTGGCTGTGTCACCAGCATTTACTATTTGCTAGGTAGAAGATATTAACAGTAGGATCAGTGTGTGTGTAGTAAGCATATATGTGTACTGTCGGGTCGGGGGAACAGAATAGAAGAATGTGAGCCTATTGGGTTTGCACTGTGATACATATTTTCTCCAAATTGGATCTTATAACAATCATTCTATAGATGACCACTTGAGCTAATAAGGTATATTTATTTCACAGTTTCACATCTTTATCATTGTTTTTATATAATGCTTAAATTGGGTTTAAGAACAGATATTCCCTTTTAAACTTTAAAAAATTATTTATTTATTTATTTATTTTGAGATGGAGTCTCACTCTCACCGAGGTTGGAGTGCAGTGGCACAATCTTAGGTCACTACAACCTCTGTCTCCCAGGTTCAAGCGATTCTCTTGCCTCAGCCTCCCAAATAGCTGGGACTACAGGCACCCACCACCATGCCTGGCTAATTTTGTATTTTTAGTAGAGATGGGGTTTCACCATGTTGGCTTGGCTGATCTTGAAATCCTGATCTCATGATTTGCCTGCGTTGGCCTCCCAAAGTGCTGGGATTACAGGCATGAGCCACTGTGCCTGGTCTAAGCTTTTTTTTTTTTTTTTTTTTTTTTTTAAATAACAAATATGACTGAATCATACAACTACATTTCACCTTATTTATTTATTTATTTTATTATACTTTAAGTTCTGGGGTACATGTGCAGAACGTGCAAATTTGTTACATAGTTATACACGTGCCATGGTGGTTTGCTTTATCCGTCACACATTTCACCTTTTTAAACCAGCCCTCCCATTCCCATTAGAAACATTCTGTTTAAAAAAAATCAGGTGATCAAAGTCACAGAAACTGAATTGTGAGAAGTATAATGGGAAAGGAATGAGAACCTGTGGATATAGGGAGTTACAGAAGAGAAATCATCTTTTAGAGCCATGGTTTATTTCTGAAAGGAAGGGTAAAGCCATGAATTAATTAGAACAGGAAGCTAAGAAATTAAAGATGGCAAGATTGTCGAAAATAACTGAGGCTGAACGGGAAGCCTTTACCCTGGCACACTTTTGGTGCTGTTGGCTGAGCCTGGCCAAAGAGCAGGGAGAGATGCACAAGTGTGCTTCTCATGAGACTGTCTGGATTTGGGGAGGACAGCTCACCCGCAGCCTGAACACAGGTTCTGTAACTTATCTCATTGTTATTCAGAAAGTTTGGTACTCAGGTCCGGCATGCTCCTGCTCATGCAGGGTAAGCCACTCAGCGTAGACCAGCTGGAAGGCTCAGGGATCTGAGCAAAGCCAAGCTTACCTTTAAGCTAAGCCACTTGTTCCTGGGTCATGCAGTTTGTTTTCTAATAAGCATCATTGCTGATCATTAGAGCAAAAGGATGAATGCTCTCTTAGAATGACATAGGGGATCTGCCACTGGGAAAGTGTTGCTCAGTGTTAGAGTAGCAGCAATGACAGAATGACAGCGAGTCTCTGAGTCAAACCAACACTTTGAGTACCCCATCAATATGTGAATAAAGGCAGCTAGAAAATGGACTCGATTCTGCAAGCCTTCATGACAACAGCCCATATTAAGACTTCCAGAATAAGTAAAAAAAAAAAAAAATTCTTCCATTTCCATCCATGACGTGGGAAAAGGGCTTTAGCATTGTTTAGGATGAATGTTGTTTAAGATGTATGTTCGTATAATAATAAAATGGTAAGATATATATATATATATATATATATATATATATATATATATATATATATATATCATGGGGGAAATAAAGCTTCAGAGTCCTTCCAGTATGGGGAATCCATTGTATCTTAGAACCGAGGGATTTATTTAGATTACTGATCTACTGTTTCTTCACTTACATGTGAATTTTCAATGATAGAACTTATTGGAAGCTGGGAATAATTCTGTTGTTGTACTAAATAATGTTCATTATTTAAAGACTCATCTTGGTACTGAGTTAGTGCACTGACATTCAGTGAATTGACATAAGCCCACATTTCGTTTTAACCAGAAACAAAAATGTTACTCCCTAAATAGGTAACAATGTGTTTTATAAGCACTGCAGATATTTAGTAAATAACATGTATGATTACTTGAGAAACAACTTCTGACACTTGAGAGTTACCCAAATGGTCTCCTCTCCATTCTTTATATGAGGTAAATGCAAACCAGGGAGGCACTGAGTAAATAGCCCTAAGTACATTTGTAATCTTGGGCTCCATGGGATGTCTTTGGTTGACGAAAGAGGAAGGGACTGATGTTTCTATTACAAGATCCTGTAATGCTAGGACTTCTACACAGCTTAGAATAATGGTTGGGCGTCCATTCTTAGAGGAGAAAGGCCCAAATATTATTTTAGTCACTTGAGCACCATTGAACATGGGTGCACACCTGGCCTAGAATACCATTTACATCATTATCTTGTCCTGTTGAAGACCTATTGCATGCAAGAGATTTAACATCAACTCAAAAATACATGTAGTATGCCCAGTAAAATACATTGGCTAGCATAAAAATCAAAGGGAACAGTAGTTTGGAATACCGATCAACATTACTGGGATTTTGAATTGTGAAATAATCAACGATTCTGCCCATCTTTTCTCGGACGACAAACTTGAACTTGTCTCTGGTTTTCATTGTCAAATCACTGTAGTCAACCTTGTCGCTGGAAATTTCAATGCTGGCAAAGCTGATCTTCCGTTTAAAGCTGGAGATGGAGCTGTTGATGATGTTAGTAATACTGACTTCTTCCACTGCCTTCGTTGTCCCCTAGTTCATAGATAATGAAGTTAGCTTAAAATACTTGACTCAGCAAAATAAATAAGTAGGTAATGAGCTAATAAAAAGATTAGAGGCCTAAGTATAGAATAATTAGGCTTAACAGAGAGTAGCATTGAGTGCTTCAGAAATTGGCCGATAAGCCAGACTTGGAGTCCTGTTACTCTGTTTGGAGACATTTATGTGTAGGTCACCAGCATATGCAACAGAAGGAGTAACCATGACTCACTGTGGGTATGCTGAGCAGTGTGCCAGATGCGAAATGCCCAGGCTTTGAAGTTAGCGAACCTGGGTTCAATTCCATGTGGCCTCTCACTATCGTGAAACTTCAGTCACCTCAATCCCTGTAAGACTTGATTTCCTTGCCTGCCAAATGGTGATTGGTATTACCATCTGGAGACTGATGGGGAGAGCAAATGGTAAAAAATGGAAAGCATCTGGGAGGTGTTTGATGAATTCAGTCCAGTTCCAGGGAGAAGGGAGTTACTGATTCTGAGAGAAAATAGAAATCAGCTGTGTCTTAAAGGCTTTGCCACAAAAGCAGAAATAGTGACGCTCCCTGCAATTGCAAGGAGCTGTCATTCTCCATCATGGCCAGGGTCAACTCTCAAGAATGTGGGAGTGTAGTGAAATCAGAGAGAGTGTGGTTTGGACCGTTGGCTGGGCCACTTGCTAGGTGTGGGGTCTTAAGGACTTTCTGCTGTCGTCAGAGGAGGCTGTTCGTATTTCACCAATCTCCATTTTGCCAATCTAGCAAATCTAGATTTTTTTGGAGGGTGGGGAGGTAATTCGGCTTCCTTCCTTCCTCATAAGGAAGCAAAAGAAACACAAGCCATGTTCCTCTTTGGCCGGCACACATGGTCATTTGCCTTTGGTGCTTGGATGACATGACTGTGAACACTGCTCACTGTAGCCAAATATAAGGGAAAAAGCAACTGGGTCTTTGGGTCATTCTGATTCCCCGTTCTTCACTATGAGACCCTTTAGCACAGGTGTCCCCAAACTTTTTACACAGGGGGCCAGTTTATTGTCCCTCAGACCGTTGGAGGGCCGCCACATACTGTGCTCCTCTCACTGACCACCAATGAAAGAGGTGCCCCTTCCTGAAGAGCGGCGGGGGGCCGGATAAATGGCCTCAGGGGGCCGCATGCTTTAGTTTGGGGACGCCTGCTTTAGCACTTTGCTAAAGATGGGCACCTCTTCTGAACTGGATCCCTATCGTTTGCTTGCTTGTTAGCATGAGCGTTAGTATGCCAATAGCCAATATCCATCAAATTTGGCTTCCAGGCAACACTAGGGGTCCATGGACCTGTAAAGAGTGGTAGTTAAGAGCATGGTCCAATGCCCATTGCAAGTGGAAATAACGAATAAGTGCCAGGCTTTAGCACCAAGTAGGTTTAGGTTGGAATCCCAGCTCTACCTGTTACTATCTGTTTCCCCCGGGGTAAGTCCGTTTCCCTTCTTGTTCTCAGATTTCATAAATTTAAAAAGGGAGATAACTTCATTGGGTTCTTATGTGCATTTAAAATGACATAATACTTGGGAAAGGCTTGTTACTGTGTCTGGCACATGTAAATGCTTGACAAATAATGGCTACTATTATTATTTAGAGAGCTGGACTACAGTGTTCCACTGCTAAACCAAATAATGGCAGTTTTTCTCAATTAGCAGAAAAATATGCTAACCACGAAATTTGTCACAATCTAATATTTCCCACACATTTTTCCAGTAAACCATTACTTGTATAATTTAAGAATACAATAATGCAACAAAAGAATTAAATAGTAAATATATATTAATCTGAAACTTGCAAGCAGCTGATCATGTTTTGTTTCATATTGGATTCTTCATGGATGCTTGCTCCTGTGGTTGTGATTTTATGCTGCATACAGATAATACATTTTATGCTGGAAAATTGAACATATTAATGTCTCATTATATTTGGTGAAAAGAATAGTCTTTTTCAAGGGGCACCATGACTTCCAGCTGCTCCCATCTGAATGAGGATAAGACTCACTGGAGCACAGGGAATCACTGGGGGTGGGTGGGGATAGGAGCGAGGTCCAGGCCATGTCCACAGAGCCAGCACATGGCACCAGTGATGGATCGTACACAGGGCCCTCAAGACTCTTACCCTATCTTTGGCTGCCATCTGCTGTAAGGAACTGTAGTGAGCAACTGCGTATTCCAGCAAGGCCCCAAACACAAAGCTAAAGCAGATCCCCAGGTACACATCGATGGCCTTTATGAAGCAGTTGGTGTTGGGAAGAGAAGTGCGGGACCCGATCATCAGTGTGGTCATTGATAACACAGTCGTCACTCCTGGGAAAACAGGCAGGGAATGTTCCTACAAAGTGACTGGTTAGCACTTCACCATAGGCTGGCAGAGTATCCCCATCCAAAGCTGGCAGGTGGAGGACAAGACCCAGAAATGGAATGCATCTCATTTTGAAAAGTCTGTGACCCTCTAGAATAGGGTTGATTTGTTCATTTTGTACAAAAATGAGTGATGTGGTTTTAAAAAAATGTTTCATCTTCTGTCTTCTCCTGGGAGGGGGTGGTCAGTATGCAAAATAACTGACAATAGACCATCTAAGCACAATGATCCCTTACTTGTCACTGTAAAACATAAGTTTAAAAATGTACCACTCCTGGCAGGGTGTGGTGACTCACCCCTATAATCCCAGGCTAAGGTGGGTGGATCATTCACTTGAGGTCAGGAGTTCAGGACCAGCCTGGGCAACATGGTGAAACCCCATCTCTACTAAAAATACAAAAATAAGCCAGGCATGATGGTGCATGCCTGTAGTCCCAGCTACCAGGGAGTCTGAGGCAGGAGAATTGCTTGAACGTGGAAAATGGTTGCAGTGAGCTGAGATGGAACTACTGCACTCCAGTCTGGGCGACAAGAGCAAAATTCCATCACAACAACAACAACCACAACAACAACAACAACAACAACAACAACAACACTACTCCTGAAGTAGTCTGTTTCTGTCTCTTTCTTTCTCTGTAGGAGAATCTCACAAGAAACTAACTCTTGGAACTGCCCTAGGAATATCAATGAAGACAATGGTAAAAGGAAAAAAAAGTAAGTACCTGATAAGCCAGTTCTTAGAAAACTCCCATTGGAGCTGCTTACCAATGCAGGTTCTTGCAGGGACTGAATCGAGGGAGATCCAAAATGAAACCCAGGACAACACCACCAGGAAAGTGGAAGGAACGTAGGTCTCCAAAATGAAATACAGAACATTCCTCCGAAGCTCAAATTGTAAGACCAATCTAGTGTAATTTCCTGTTAGGGTAAACAATGGATAGGAAATCATGTCTGTTCATGTAGCAAGTGGTTTCTCTACGGGATGCTTAACTCAGCTATATGCACATAGGCCCTCTGTCATTGGTCAAAATCTAGTTAGGTATGAACTGTCATCTTTGAGCTGTATTCTTACTTGTACTCTTCAGTGTCAGAGAACCAGTGCTCCAGTTAGGAAGTTTACGCATGGAGAAGGCATGGAATTTAAGCAATCATTAGAAAATATCTGGAAGTACATAGTGCAAGGCTTCAGAGCTGGTTCAGAGGTCTGTTCCTCAGTGGACCATTTTAATACTGTGTGTGGAGCAGGTGGAATTGCTCAGCCCAAATTCTACTGTCCCTCTCCACTGCAGCCCATAGAGGTAAAGTGAGAAGATGATATTTCTGACTCAGAGAGCAACCCTACACTTTGGTTCACTTCTTATTTTTATTTCATACAGTTTGTCACATGAGTTACCTGTCTCCTGCTGCGATCTGGTAACTAAGGTGAAATACCGCTGTATGGTGTACTGAGCAAGCCGCAGGTGTTCCAGCCCACGCACAGAGTCATTCCCTCTCAGCCAGGTGAACTCGACGTCATTTCCATCATAGCCCCCTGGCAAATAAAATGGAGGCCTGGTCAGTGCAAGGATCTTCCAGATTGAACTGGTCTGGAAAATGCTGTAATGTGGAGACAGCATGAGCTCTTTTTTCATGGTGATAAGTCCAAGAACAATCCCATGCAAAACTTGTCATGATTTCTCAAGTGTAATTGCAATGTCTGCTCTGAATGAAGCGACCTTCCAGGACGATTTGCCATCAGTTGAGAACTGGTCCTGTGTTAGGTGTATTGTGTAGATCTGGTGGATGGTAAGTCATTAGACATGGCCTCCCTCATTATTTAAATTATATTTATTAAGCACATATCTGTGAACAACAAAGATACTGCCTTTCAAGACTGTATAATAGCTCTGATGATATTTTCAGGAACTTAAGAACTGATCTGTTCATATTTCCATATTGGCATAAATACAAAACCAAAAAACCTGCTTTATTAAAGTCTGTAACCACGTATGTTAGCTAAATCTCAAAGCAGCTTAATTAATATAGTTGATAATAGTAACAATAGTTATCTTTTGAATATTTATAGGTACTTCATACATTATGTCATTAATGTTTTTGTAAACTTGCAAGATAGCCATTTCTATATTTCTTCAATTCTAAGATGGACATTTCTTTACATTTTATGAAATTGAAATGGATGTTACAATTGATTTATATAAATACATAATATATACATAATAGTGTTTAAATATATTTATAAATATAGTAGAGCTTATATTTTTTCCTAACATGTTATTATTCAATAAATGTTGTTCCATAGAACTGAGTAACTATAATAATTTCCCATATTATTCTTGAAAACTCTCATAATCAGAGGGGTTGCATCACTTTCTATCATTTAATAAGCAATTGCATTTCCAGGTGCTTTACAACACTATCATCTCATTTAACCCTCACTGTGTCTCTTTAAGAAGATACATGAATGGTTCGTAAGCAAACAAAAAGATGCTCAGCATCACTAGTCATTAGAGAAATGCAAATCAAAACCGCTAGAAAACCCCTCACGCCCGTTAGCTCGGCTGTAATAAGAAAGACAGACAATAACAAAGGCCAGCACGTGGAGAAGCCGGAATGTTAGCTGGCGGGAATGTAAAGTGGTACAACCACTTCGGGAAACAGTGACAGGGTGATAGTTTCTTAAAAACTTAAATCTAAATTTTCCATTTGACCCAGCATTCCACTCTTAGGTACCTGTCCAAGAGAAATGAAATCATGTCCACACAGAGTGGCACACCAGTGTTCACAGCAGCAGTACTCACAGTAACCAAAAGGTGGAAACCAAATTTCCATCAACTGATGAATCAATAAAGAAAATGTGATATATATATATATATATATATATATATATATATATATATATCTCACATGAAAAAATATATGCACACAAAGAAATAACTACTCAGTAATAAAAAGGAATGAAGCACTGATGCTCGCCATAACATGTGTGAACCTCAAAAACATGCTAAGTGAAAGAAACCAGATGCATAAGACCACATAGGGCTAGGCGTGGTGGCTCATGCCTGTAATCCCAGCATTTTGGGAGGCTGAGGCAGGTGGATTACCTAAGGTCAGGAGTTTGAGACCAGCCTGGCCAACATGGTGAAACCCTGTCTCTACTAAAAGTACAAAAATTAGCTGGGTGTGGTGGCACGTGCCAGCTACTGGGGATGCTGAGGTAGGAGAATCACTTGAACCTGGGAGGTGGAGGTTGCAGTGAGTCTAGATCACGCCATTGCACTCCAGCCTGGGCAACAAGAGCAAAACTCTATCTCAAACACTAACAACAACAACAACAACAACAACAACAACAACAACAACAGAAAACCACATAGTGCATGATTCCATTTATATAGTATCAAGAAAAGGCAAATTCAACAGACAGGAAGTAGGTTAGTCATTGCCTGGGAGCCGGTGATGGGGAAGAGGCGTGGCTGCAGAGGGGCACAAGGGGTGTCTTATAACTTAAAATAGGCTTAAAATAGGCGAACTTTATGGTATATAAGTTATACCTCAATAAAGCTGTTAAAAAACAACTCTGAGTCACATACTATTATCCTTCCCACTTTACTGATAGGAAACTGAGATCCAGAGACATTGGATACTCACCCGGAGTCACAGAGCTAGTGATGGCAAAACCCAGTGACTTCAGTACTTGTGATCTTAAACACAAAGCTATAAGGCTACCGGGAAATGCAATGCCAGTGTTGGAACGAACAATTTTGTTAAGTCTCTGTATGATATCCATTGCCTAGCAATGGTTATCTCTCTCTCCCCAGGGAAGAGAAATATAGTCATGAACTCTTAGGGAATTTCCAGGTAAAAATTATCTGTGGACTTTCCCTTGGAAGCATCCAAACATGTACTAAAGCCAGCTGTCTAAATACGGCTACCATCCCACATTAAAAAAAAATCTATGAAAGTGGGTAGTACAAATTTCTACCCGGACCCTCTGCCTTTACAAGTAGTAAATGCTCACAATCATTACATTATGGTCTCTCTGTCCCCGGGTGAATAAGGAAAACTGTGGGGTGGTGTCAGTTCTTTTCTAGAGATGGCACTTAGAAAAATACCCATAGTGAGGTTTCTGTACTCAAACACTGCTAATAACCATGCAGAGTAAGCTCCCTCTGCTTACTGGGGATGATACTTGTGAAACAGAGCCTGAAGTTTCCAGGAGAATCTCTCACCTGGGATTTGAGATGAGCCCAGCCACGATATATGAAAGGTAATTGATTTTTCCATGTGGGACTGAAAATGAGTTCTCTTTTTGATAACCTCAAGTTTTATCCTGCCACCAAACAGCTGTATTGCTTCAAGAAGGTTCTGAATGCATTTAATCAATAAGATAATTAATCTGTTTGTCTGAGTCTTTAATTAAATGTCCGCTTCTGAAAAATGGCTACTGCCTCATAATGGTTGTGCTTCTCAGATGTTGCCCACTTGTGACCTTACCTAAGGAGTGTCCACTGCTCTCATAGCGTGACCATCCTTTCTCCCTTCACACACAAGCCCTGCCTGATGCCTTCATAAATCATAGCTGCAATGTTGTTTGCCTATCACAGGTGCCTAAGTTTGGCTGGCATTTTGGAGTGGTTTACTAAGGGACAATGGGGATTACGTAGCAATACTAGGGAGTTCATTCATCACACATCAACTTAGAGTTAAATCCTCATTCTTCATCACAGGCAAATCCCCAGATTATAGTTTAGACGCCCATTTACTGGCATGATTGTAAGAGCTTTATATTATTAAGCAATTTATTTGAAAAGTTGGAAGCACGAGTGATAAATGTCAAGGATGGTTTTGCATATTTGCCATTTTTTCTGCTGTGTTCCCTCTTGTACATAATCTGCACCTTAGCAGATTCTGAGTCCCACTCCTTGCCCTCTCGGCACATTCCAGCTTATCCCCTATGTCTTATTCCAAATGATACTTTCCCTAGGAAAACCCTGACACCCCATTACTTTTCATTGTTGTAACTCATTTTATTATAATTATTTAAAATCCCATACCCTCTACTGGGCTGTAGAGTTCTCGAAGACTGGAACATTGCTTTATTTTTATTTTTTATTTTTTGAGACAGAGTCTCGCTCTGTCATCCAGGCTGGAGTGCAGTGGCACGATGTTGGCTCACTGCAACATCTGCCTCCCAGATTCAAGCAATTCTCCTGCCTCAGCCTCCCAAGTAGCTGAAGATTTCAGGCACCTGCCACCGTGCCTGGCTAATTTTTTTGTATTTATGGTAGAGACAGGTTTTCACCATGTTGGCCAGGCTGGTCTCAAACTCCTGACCTCATGATTCATCAGCCTCGGACTCCCAAAGTTCTGGGATTACAGGCGTGAGCCACTGTGCCATGCCCATTGCTTTTGTCTGTGCATTGCAAACATCTACTGCAGTACCTCAGGTAGAATAGCCATTTAATGGTTGAATGGATGTATTGAATGTATTTAAATGTGGATAGACAGATGGAACCCAACCAGACTGGCTGGAGACTTTAGTGGGACACTATATACAACTAAAGTGTTAGAATGAGAAAAAAGACTTTCCTTAGCATACACAGGAAAGGACGGATACTGGTGTTGGTTCTGAGTAATGCCAGGGACACATCCCTGGCACAGGGATATGTCTGGGACCACTGTGTGGTAATCAGGTTGCAATTGGGTTGAACATTCTGGCAGGATTTGGGGAATCCAACAAAAGCATCACATGGTGACTCAATTTGGGGAACAATGATGATAATAAATGGACACTGGAGAAACTGAAAGGAGTTATTAAAAGATTTTCATTATCCCCATATTACTGTTTAAAAGCACTTTATGTATACTCAGGAAAAAAAAGCAGCTCAGATCACTAACAAACCATGGGAACAAACTCCCTATGTGACTCTCCAGCCCAGTGGAAGGGCTACTAGAGTTCAGGGAACTTTGTACCTTGGGCCCATTCTACCTCGGCTCAAGTCCCAGTGTGGCTACTTAACTTTTCCTTGGGAAAATTACCAAATCCTAATGAGCCTCAATTTCTCTATCTGCAAGATGGAAAAAACAAAATATATCTCTCAGGATTGTTTGGAAGGTTTCCAGTATAGTGCCAGACATGGATTAAGCAATTGGTAAATGGATGCTGCAGTATTTATTGGGAAAATAATTTTCATTACTTTTTTTTCTTTTTGAGATGGAATCTCGCTCTTGTTGCCCAGGCTGGAGTGCAGCGGCATGATCTTGGCTCACTGCAACCTCCACCTTCCAGGTTCAAGTGATTCTTCTGCCTCAGCCTCCCAAGTGGCTGAGATTACAGGCATGTGCCACCACATCCGGCTAATTTTTGTACTTTTAGCAGAGATGGAGTTTTACCATGTTGGCCAGGCTGGTCTTGAACTCCTGACCTTAATTGATCCATCCATCTTGGCTTCCCAAAGTTCTGGGATTGCAGGCGTAAGCCACTGTGCCCGGCACATTTATTACTATTATTATTACTATTATTGTTAATTGAAAAGTTGTTTGGTCAAGGAGACTGGGGCAACAGCAGATTGAGGTCATAAAGCACATTTTGTTACCTTCTCCAGGAAGTCTTTCCCCACTAGCCTCTCTACCTCCTTTGCAATGGAGAGTGAGGTTTTTCTTGTTACCACAGTGCTTTGCATAGAAAAAAGAAAAAACAAAGCCTTTGAGGCTTTCTAGACTTAAAAAGGTAGCCCTGGACATATTTGCTGACAAACGAAGTGTATATTGATGAAAATTCCATGACTTTTTTCATTAGCTTTTACAGGGACCTGTGGCTGATTTGATCTTGGAGAGTAAGGGCGGGTGGGTGGCAAAGGACATGGCCATAGAACTCATCTGGAATCATAGACCCTTTAAGAGTTCGTAGCCAGATGGATGACATAAATTAAATGTTAAAAGCTTAGGTCTCAGGGGCTAGTGTAGATTTGTTGTTACAAAAATGTTTTTTATAAAATGATTGTCCCACAAAACACTCATGAAAGCAGATTCCATGGTTTTAAACGTTTGGGAAGTGCTACCACTCCTTCTTGGAATTTCACATGGAAGTAGCTTATTAGAGTCTGTTAAAAGCTCTGCAGCAAACAAGACTGTTAATACTTCAGGCTTTATGAGTCATCTGGTCTCTATCACAAATGCTCAACTCTGGCACTGCAGTGCACAAGTGGCCATAGACAATATGTAAGCGCATGGGCGTGACTGTGCTTTAGTAAAACTTCCTTTGCAGAAACAGGTGATGGGCTGGATTTGGCAACAGGCTGTTGTTTGCTGACCCCTGGCCTAGACCACCAACTACCTTAAAGAATTTCCTTTGGTTTTCTTGTCCACTCACGGTAGGAGGTATTTGGTACTAATTCATAACGGTTCTTCCCCAGAGATATTAGACATGTCTTGGAGAAGTCTCCAAATCTGTCTGGAAGCACAGTCAGAAGGGTTGAATCCACAGTGAATCAACATTAAGAAAAGAAAGGTCACTATGTATGAGATACTTTTCATGAATACACAGACCTAAGTCACCCAGGAAATCATCTCAGGAGTCTGTAGAATGTGTACTTACAGCTTTCCAGCTGCAACTTGCATGTCTGTGTGTCCATGGGGTACTTAGACAGATCCATATTACATGCAACAGTTGTTGTGATCCTAAGAAGGAAAAACGGGTTCAAAAACGGTATTATGAGGGAGCTATAGAAAGTTCACATTCCCTTCCAAGGCCCACTCAAAGAGGACTTTCACTTGAACTCTTGCAATGAACATGTAGTTTGGAGCCTGCATCTAAGGCATCCTTGAGGTTCTGCGTGCTAAAGAACGCCCATGAGGCTTAGTTAAAACTGAGTCTAGAGTGGAGGAGGTTGGAATGTTGGCCATTCAAGAGGCAAAACTTCTGAGTGTATCACAGAACAGATGGATGCAATGGCTCGAGATGCTTTAGCATTGAGCTTTTAAATTTAATCTTTGTGACAGACCTGTGTAAGCCTAGGACAGTGTTCACAGTCACTATTGTCACCACTTGATAGCAGCTGTAGGGACTTGCATAGGCTCACATGGCTCTGAGTGGCAGAACTGAGGCTGGAGCCCAGGTCTCCTGGCTGTTCTCTTCTCACAAGACCCTGCCTCCTCATGGGAACCAGGATCCAGAGGCAGTGGGGGCCCCAGGCACGTGGATTTGGGGCTTAACCCCAGAGATGTTCAATTAAAGGTCAGTTAAGCCCTCACGGTGGAGATTGCATTTGCCAGGCCTTTATCTTCCTTTATTTTCAGTGTCATACATTTTTTATTCGACACTCTTATTTATTAAGCACTGTGCTAGGTACTTGGCGGAAATGAAGGTGATTATAGAATGGTGCTCACCTCCAGGAAGCTCACACTCCCTTTAGGGAGACAGAGACTAACAACAGCTATGGTTTACTGAGTGCTTACTGCGAGCCAGTCCCTGGGCTGAGTGCTTTGAGAAGCTCTACTAGGTAGGAAATACATTAATTCTCATTTTACCGTTGATGAAACTGAGGCTCTGAAAGTCAAGTAACTTGCTTAAGGTCACAGAGCTGCTGAGGGACAGAGCAGGGGCTTGTACCAAAATCTTTGTGATTCTAGAGCCAGGCTATTAAAACATCCCTCATTATTTGTAATCCTTACACAATATTGATTGTGCTGTGTGCCATAATATAGACAGACACACATGTATACACAAATGCATGCACATGCCCACACACCCACACACACACATGTGCTGTGGGAACATGGAGAAGGGGGATGTTAATGATGATTGGAATTGAGGTCAAAAGAGAAGACTAGTTATATTTCATGAACTAAGAATTGGGCTTTGAGGTAGTCTTTGCAAAAGTCAGTTGAGGCATGTCCAGAAATTCAGTTTATAGGTTAACTCAATCCTTGATTTATAACTTCAGACTCTCGCTTAAGATTAAAGGTCAGCCCCATGAATTGGTTCTTGGCCACCTCCCCAAGGCCTCTGGGAGCCTTGGGTTTGTACAGTCCTTGCACAGGCAGGGATGAGTCCTGTCCATCGAACCCGGCTCCATGAACAATTGGGTGAAAGGAACTTCAGCTTCAGGGATTTGGGGAGAGGACAAAGGGGAGCCCATGGCTGCAGGTGGCAGAGGCTTTGGGGCCCTGCACCTTGGTTTTCTGTACAAACATGACTCAGACAAGTAGAGCTGTGTTCAGGAGCTGCTGCAGATCCACTGAGCCCCACGAAAGGAAAATTCCTTGCACTCACCTCTCTGTCGGCTCTTGCCATTGCCCTTACTTCTTCCCTCGCTAACTTCCCTTTATCCTTTCAGACTCAGCTCAGAATCCTGTGAAAGCATCCTCTAACGTCACCCCCAAACCACTCACCTACTCCCCAACTTGGGCCCCAGAACTGGGGACTTCCTTTGTTTCCAGGTCCATGTCTTTGCGGACAGGGCGATGTCTTATTCAGCTCTATCCAGTGTCCAGCATGGGGCTGAGCACAGAGAAGGGATTCAGTAGATGCTGAACTGAGAGAGGGACCTTCTATTATGGGGGCAAGGATCTAAGAAGGCATAGAACCTCACAGTGGCTCTTTGAGTTCTGGTCACAAGTATCCAAGATGTATCTGCATGTTTTCTCCCAGCTGCTGCCCTCCAGCCCTGAGGTGACAGGGGTCTGCGTACCTGAGGGCATAAAGGACCGTGCCATTGGAGAAGAGGCGGATAAGCCTGTTTCCCACAGTGACTTCATGGAGAAAGGACTTCTTGGACTCCACAATGTAAGTGTCTGGCACCCAGAGGAACTCCACAAGGCGGGCATCCAGAGTGAAGCTCTTGTTGCCTTCAAACACCAGCCGCTGGTCCATCCACCGCTGTCGGAGGTATATGGTGGCTGTGTAGTCCTGGGAAGGGGAGGCCGGGTATGGCAATGGATAGGGGTGGTGGGTGAGAAAACCCCACCAGACAGGAAAAAAGTGGTCCAGCTTTACTCTACCCCCAACCTCCACTTAGAGCAAGAGTTCACAGACATTGGTGAATAAAGTTGCTATTCTTATTGCAATATGCCACTACTCAAGATTGGGGTAACTGGTAAGAAGTCATCTGCTGGGTAAGTTACCCCAGTTATCCCAGTGTTGGGATAGTGGCATATTGCAATAATAGAACAAATTGCCTTACTTATTCTAGATAATAGCTCCCACTGCCGAAAGGGAACTCCATGTTTGAGACTTTAACTTACTTGGCATGACAACTCACATTGTAGTAGATCACCAAGGCTCCACCAAATTGCTGAAGTTCTTGGTGGGCTAAGTGCTTAGTATGTCCACAGTTTATCTGGAATGCACAGCATGCCACTTGGCAAGCTGCCTTTAGTTTGCCCTTATCTTGAATGTGTGTGTGTGTGTGTGTGTGTGTGTGTGTGTGTGTGTGTGTGTCTGTGTGTCTGTGTGTTTTGAGACAGAGTTTTACTCTTGTCTCCGAGGCTGGAGTGCATTGGCACAATCTCAGTTCATTGCAACCTCCGCCTCCTGGTTCAAGTGATTCTCCTGCCTCAGCCTCCCAAGCAGCTGGGATTACAGGCATGCACCACCAAGCCTGGCTAATTTTGTATTTTTAGTAGAGATGGGGTGTCTCCATATTGGTCAGGCTGGTCTCGAACTCCCAACCTCAGGTGATCCACCTGCCTTGGCTTCCCAAAGTTTTGGGATTATAGGCGTGAGCCACCACACCTGGCCATTGAATGTGTTCTCTTAAGGGAGAGGGTCATTGCAGCAGTCAGCTGTCAGTTTTCCTCAGGCTGTCTCCCCCACTGTAAAAGACCATGTGATCTGCAGCCTTGCTTACTACACTTTGACTCCTTTCCCCAAATTTTATCCATTGCCAAGGTACCCACTTGATTCGCTGGTTTCTCTCCTCTTGACCCTTGAATGGATCTTCTTCCTGATACTCAGAACATCTGTTCTACAAGAATCTTTCATTGTCTTGAGTTTGGAGATAGCACTCCAGCTTCTGCCATTCTAAATGGAGGAGGGCCATGAGCCATTCTTTTTTTTTTTTTCTTTTTGAGTAGCTAGAAAGGGTATCCTCATTAAACACATGGACAGGGACTCCTTGGGTGGAGTACAAAGGAACAACACTTACCATGTTACTCTCTGAAATGCTGGAGATACTTGCAATGTCCAGAGTCAGCGCTATCTGAACTGGTTCTCCTAAGATGAACAAAGCCCAAGACAGACATGGAAACACAGACATGAGATTTCCCAATACTACATTAGCACATTCTAAAAAAGATTAAACTTATAAAAGTCGAGTTTGCTTGATAGAAATATTTAAATAATCTATAAATATAAAAAGAAAAAGTTAAATTTTCTTATCCCCTCTCAAGAGTAACCACCATGTATGGTGTGCCGCCCTTTGGCATGAAAAATACGCACAAATACACAGGTATTTTAATATGTAAGAGAGACCACACTGAGTAATGAATGCATATTTTAAGGAACATAGTGCTGAGATATTTGCCACTTCTTGCATGGAGGGTTTTTCCTATGGCATTTGCAAGGAACTAATCATTTAGAAAGTAACAGATTTGTAATCTGATTGTGCATAGATGTCGTTTTTTTCCCCCTTGGCTAAATACATTTACCACAAGAGGCATCCAAGACCCATGGCTGAGCTTTTACTGACCTCCGGACACTTTGCTTCTCTTCCTTCACTCTCCCGGAACCCTACACAATTTAGAATTTCAGAGCCTCTGCACTTGGTCCAGTGTGCAGACTGTGGGGCCTCAATCCTGGAGGCTCGGCAGTCAGATTGAACTTCAGAGAGAGACTGTTCTATCTCTAGAGACTGAGGTGTCAGAGCTCCCTTCGAGAAGCCAGGTCAGGCCAGGAAGTTGACTCCTCTTTATGTGGAGATATGGAATAATGTACCTAGGTCCCAGATCTGTCACCTCCCAGTTCTTTATTCTGGGAAAAGTTATCAAATCTTTCAGAGCTGCAGTTCTCTTACCTGCAATTGGAGATCATGTTGACCTCATAGAGTCAAGGAAAGGGTTAAAGGAGATTAGGCGTGTGGCACTGTCTTTGTGGCGGGGCAGCAACGGGGAATGTAAGAGAAGTGCCTGCCCAGCCGGACATCCTGAAGGTGTTCATCACTGGTTGTCTGTACAAAGCTCCCAGCTTTTATCCATCAGTCACATCATAATAGGCGCTCAATAAATGGCATTTCCTTCCCTTCCCTTCCCCCTCTCTTCCGTAATCTTAGCTAATTTTGGAAAAGAGACAACTTTGTTCACCAGGCTAATAGATGCAATAGCATCCACTTGCAATAAAAAACCCCCGGGGGTGCCTCAGGGGACTCTGATAATGCATTAACCAGGAAGAGGCCAGGCAGAATCCAAAAGAAGCTTAAAAACATCTGATTGGTAGGAATAGGGCAAAGCAACGTACTTACTAATCTAAGAAAACTAAGCCATAGGATATAGGTAGGAATTTGGAAATAAAGTGTTAGAGCCAATGCAATTAAACAATACTTGAATGTTAATGTTGATATCTGGTGGAAAAGGATGCGATTATTATTATTTTTTTTTTGAGACAGAGTCTTGCTCTGTTGCCCAGCTGGAGTGCAGTGGCATGATCTCAGTTGACTGTAACCTCTGCCACCTGGGGTTCAAGTGATTTCTCTGCCTCAGCCTCCCAAGTAGCTGAGATTACAGGTGCGCGCCACCACACCTGGCTAATTCTTCGTATTTTAGTAGAGAAGGGGTTTCATTATGTTGGCCAGGATGGTCTCAATCTCCTGACCTTGTGATCCGCCTGCCGCGGCCTCCCAAAGTGCTGGGATTACAGGCGTGAGCCACCGCGCCCCTTCAGGGCGAGATCTTTGAGGGCAGACCCTGGAAGGTGCTGAAGCAATGTGGTGCTAAGTGGCTTTCTACCCCTCCAGGCAGCAAGGTGCAGCTCTGAGACTGGAAGCCTAGAGTCAGAGAAAGGTGTATGAATTTCATTCAGGCCACTTAACCACAAATTTCAAATCTCTCTGTGCTGCACTTTTTCTTTTCTTTCTTTCTTTCTTTCTTTTTTTTTTTTTTTGAGATGGAGTCTCACTCTTGTCACCCAGACTGGAGGTGCAGTAGTGTGATCTTGGCTTACTGCAACCTCTGCCTCCTGGGTTCAAGTGATTCTCCTGCCTCAGCCTCCAGAGTAGCTGGGATCACATCAACCACCATGCCCAGCTAATTTTTGCATTTTTAGTAAAGACGGGGTTTCACCACGTGGGCCAGGCTGCTCTCGAACTCCTGACCTCAGGTAATCCACGCACCTCTGCCTCCCACAGGCATGAGCCACTGTGCCCACACTGTGCTGCAGTTTCACGCCTGTAAAATAGAGCTGCTAGTGCCACTGTGGTTTGAATGTGTGTCCCCTCCAACACTCATGTTGACATTTAATTGCCATTGTAAGAGTGTTAAGAGGTAGGACCCTTAAGAGGTGGTTAAGCCTCATGGGTAGAATTGGTGCCATCACGAAAGGGCAAGTTCAACCCCCTCTTGTTCTCTCTCTTACCACCATCTGATGACAAAGCTAGAAGGCCCTTGCCAAATTCCAGCACCTTGATATTGGACTTCTCAGCCTCTAGAACTGTGAGCCAATAAACTTCTGCTCATTATGAATACTCAATCTCAGGTATTCTGTTATAGAAGCACAGAACAGACTAAAACAAGTGCCGGCCATCGAGGGTTGGGTTGGGACGGTTACTGCATCTACTTTAAGCGCCGTAGATCCATGTTAGTCGCCTTCCCTGAATAACACAGGGATTGGAAAAGACAGAAGAACTCCGGTCCCACTGTGCATTCTGTCCAGTTTATTTCCACAGTCTAGTCTAGGCTTTGTCTCAGTTGGCTTTTTTTTACCGGACCAGAGCTTGCTCTTTCTTCCCCTTGAGTTATAAGAGCAAACTGTGCCACCAGAGGGCAGCTTACTCCTAGGAACGAGGTCAAAGCCAGCTCCTGCGTAGTGTTCACTAGTGCCAGCTTACAAACCTTTGCTTTGTCCGGCTCTGTCTCTGAGAAATCCTATGAAGGTCTTGTCTCTTTTGGACCTCAGGGTCCTGGAAACCGGGTGCACAGATATTAAGAGAGCAATGGCCCTCCATGGGCCTCCAGGCTGCCATGCAAGTTTAGGGATTTTCAGGAGTGAAGTGCCAAAAGGCACAAAACAAGGGGTGTGGGGTTGTGCTGTTCCCCCTTTTTAACTGAAAACCCCATGCCCTATTTTCACCCCAGGTGGGACGAGACATCACATCCCTTCAGGCCTGCCCTAGGTTCCCTGTTCTCAAAATGAACTCCCTGCCCAAGGACCCTGCACTTTGCTGGCCAGTGAGTAGGCAAACAGGAATGGCTGCATTCTGGCTTAATTGTTCGGGGTCTGGGAGGCAAGAGAAATTGTTGAGTGGCATTAACCAAGGCTACATGCTTGTCATTCGTGTTCAGCAGGGCCTGGGGAAACCAGGGGATGTTGAAGCCTCTCTAGGCTCCTTAATATAAGGATCTCACATCTTAATTGTGTCTCAAATCTGAATGAAAATGCATCTCTACCATCTCCAACTGAGCAGATGTGATTGACTGAGGGCCCCAGCTTCTGCGCTTTGGAATCGAATACCACGCTTGCTCTGAGGCCATGCTTCTCACGGGCCACCGCCAACCACAGACTGAACACAGTGGGGATAAGAAGGCAGGCCTGTTCCTGGGAAGCATAAAGATGGGAGACTCCTCTCATGATACCTCTAGCTCAAGGACTCCCTGGTGGGTCATTCCAAACACACTGAGGACTGCCCTACCATCTAAGACACTTCCACTCAACCTCGCTTCCTTCCCTCTCTCCTTCCCTGTCAGACCTGCAGGTCTGACAACTCTCCTAGCTTCCCTCTCTGCCCCTCCATCCTCCCTTCTAGACATAGTCCCCCTACATAGCTGAAAGAAATCATCTGCTCTTGGCATCTGCTCTTCAGAAGATCTGGACTACCACCTGAATCCTAGATCAAACCAGGAAGGGATGAAAATAACTCATCCTCTGTTGATGTTGCACGCACTGTGCCTCAGGCTTACATACTTCACTTCATTCAGTCCTCCCTGTGAGATAGATGGGATGTTCTCATTTTACAGAAAGGGAAAATGAGGCACAGAAGGCTAAAGTACTTGCCAAGCAGGAGAGCTAGGAGCCAAACTCAGGTCTGTTCAATGCCAAGGCTCTTTCTGTTGCTTTCTGCTATGAAGAGCTGTATAGTTGGTCTCACTCCCTCCTTCCTTGCTTTATTCTTTCAACAGACATTAATCAGCAAGTTGTTATATGTCAGGCACTGAGCTTCTATGGGGAATAGTGAGGGAAATGAAGTCAGACTCCTCCAAGGGCTGCCTGGAGGAATCAGGGGAGGCTTCTCAGAGAAAGCAGCCTTTGCTCTGAGACATGATGAAAAATTGACATTTTTCTAGGGAGTCAAATTCAAAGAAGCAATTCCACGAAGATAGCCTCTGTAAAGACACCAAGGTGGAGGAGGGCAAGGATGTCAGGGAATGTTCAGAGTGCACTGGGGAGCACTGTAGGAGGGGAAGGAGTGGGGACTTGGGCAGATGAGAATGACAGACAGACAAAGGCTGGGCTGCGAAGGACCTGGTGTGCCTGGACTCTATGCGAGGAGGCTGAGGCATGTACAGGTGTCCCAAACAGGGCAATGACCCAAGAGGCATCCGGATGGCAGTGTGAGGTGTCAGCTGAGAGGGGGCAGGCTGGAGGGGGAAGACCAGATGGGGTAGCCTGGTGGCGCCTGGTGAATTCATTGAATAATGACCCTGGAAGTGGGGGCAGGAGCAGAACAGTGTGTGAGTGATTGTTAGGAGGCTCTCGCAACCTCCTCAGTGAGGAAGAGTATTGCTTTATCTTGCAGGCAGAGAGGCAAGGTGCCTTTTTCCAGGCAGTGTGAAAAATTATCGGTAGCCATCCTCATCCATCATCGCCAATCCTTAACAGGCTGCAGATCAGAAAATGGAGTCAACTAAAACCTCCCGAAACCCTCCACTGCTTATTGTCTCTGTTTCCAACCCTTTGAATTGATGTCCTGGGCACAGTGGATGACCTACCACCAAAATTGGGCCTGAGAAATTTGTTATATCCTGCTGTGAGGTTCTCAAAGCCAGGCAGGGAAAGCTTGTCACTTCTGCCAACCTCGACGTTGAACTGATTCCCCTGGACACACATCCTGGAAAAGAAATGGGTTTTGTTGTGCATGCTTGCTTATGTGAATCAACGTGTGTATACACCCTTGAGCTTGTGTTTGCCCATGTGTGTGTGGGTGTATGTGCTGTGTCCATGTACCGGCAGTGATATTCCTAACGACAAATCTCTTAATTTTCAGCTATTGAGTTAGTATCTCCATTTTTTACCCACTTGTCATAGATCAAAATATCATGGTAATTTTGATAGAAGATTGATAATTTGATTGATAATTTTGATAGAAGACACACCCTCTAAGTGCCTTCTTGAAAAATACAAGGGTTCATCCATCTATGACCATATTGGAAGCTTGTGTTCTGTAAATGGAGTTAATGGGGGGAAATTTCATTGTTTGGTGCTCCAGGGAAGTGAGTAGACCAGGTTTTGCCTTGCTTGTGGGTGAGTAGGAAGAGCTGCCCCCTCCCACCACATGCCCCAACTCAGATGGAGGCCACTCTGAGGGTAGCAAAGCTCACCTTTCAGTGAAGAGAATCAGACACACGAAGGCCAAGTGGAGGCTGTAGTTCATGTTGAGGAGCTGTTCACACCGAGGGGTTGAAATAGGAATCACCTGGGAAACAGAGGGGGCAAGGTGAGCGGCAGGCAGCCCAACAGGCTCACCAGCTCCCGGTCAGCCTCTCCCTCGGGTGGGTGGTTGGCTTAGCATTTTCTCAGCATGTGTGGGAGGCGGCCTCTTTCCATACCTTTTGGTTACAGCTCCTTCTCTCTGTGTTCCTGCCAGGAATGACTTCATTTTAGAGGATTATGTTTTTTAAATTTAATTTTTTTTTTTTTTGAAACAGGGTCTCACTCTGTCACCCAGGCTGGAGTGCAGTGGCGTGATCTCAGTTTACTGCAGTTCAACGTCCAGAGATGCTCCCACCTTAGCCTCCTGAGTAGCTGCGATTACAGGCACGTACCACCACACCTGGCTAATTGTTTTGTATTTTTGGGAGAGATGGGGTTTTGTCATGTTTCCCAGGCTGGTCTCGAACTCTGAGCTCAAGTGATCCATCTGCCTTGGCCTCCCAAAGTGCTGGGATTACAAACATGGACCCCCGTGCCCGGCCCAGGATTATGTTTTAAATCTACCCAAAATTGAGACTGAGACCCTGTTTGGAGCATGGTTCATCAGCACCAGAAATACAGCCAGATGATCCTCTGGGCTGCATCTGTTGGGAGCCAAGACTATGCTTGCCCTGTCCTTGTCCCAACTTTGCCAGAAGTACACTCCCAACTCTACACTCCCCTTGACCAAGCCAGACATTCTCTTATTTATCCCTGGGTCTAGGCTTGTGGGGCCAGTCACGTAAACAGGAAACAAAAACCTCCTGAGAACCTCCCAGGTTAGGAAGTCATGAGTTAGGTGCTGTCCCACAGAGCTCACTCCATCCTCACAGTGACCTTGTGTGGTGGGTGGGTTAATCCTTGTATTATGACAAGGAAGCAGGTGCATGGGAAGGACACCATGCTAGTGAGTGCCAAGGGAGGCTTTGAATCCAGGGCTGGCTGCCTCCCTCAGTACTCTCTTCCTTCAGAGCAAGCTGGGGCCTTGGCCTCAGATAACCCAAGGATCCTTGCTTTAGCGTGACCGCCCAGGTCTGGTCCCTGGGTTTCCTGAAGCTTCCAGCTGGCGTGTGCATGAGGACCATTGTTGTGGGTGGGGGTGGTGCGTGGCTCAGAGGCCCGGCCTCCTTAGATTCAGGAGCTGCTGTCAGGCATCCCTCTGAGACAGCAGGGGGCAGCCAGGCAGGCCAGCCTATGATCTGTCACGCTGGGGACAGCAGAATGGGGGTGCTCAGGCTCAAGCCTCATTCCCAGGCAGCCCTGGGTGGTTCACCTTCTCGGTGGCAACATCTGTGAAACAAGCCACTTTCTAGAATCTAGTCTTTCTGGAGCTTAGGGTGTAGTTCAGCCATTCATTAATATTATTTTACTTTCAAAACCGATACATGATCATTGTAGAAATGGCAACAAGACAGAAATTAAAAGTGTAAGTCCCAATCATGTGTCAATACGGGTTCATCAGTGAAAACAAACGTGCCACCCCGGTGTGAGATGTTGACAGTAAAGAAGGTTGTACATGCAGGAAAGGCTCAATTTTGCTGTGACCCAAAATTGCTCTAATAAAAGAAGTCTATTTAAAAAAGCAAAACCAAACCAAAAAAGTCCCTTCTTTATTTCTTCTCTCTCATTTCATACTTCAGAAATAAGCACTGATAACAGTTGTTTTATCCACATATACACAGATATATATTTATATACATATGTATCTCTGTACAAAAAAAATTAAAAAGCAAAATTGGGGCAATAGCATGCTTTTTTACTGCTTGCCTTTTTTTGACTTAGTAATCATAGCAAACATTTATTGAAAACTTAATGCATGCTTACAACTGCACCCCGCCTGTGTAGAATCCTCACAACTCTTTGAAGTAAGGACTACCATCCTCTTCATTTTACAGGTGAGAATACTGAGGATAAGAGAGGAGGAAAAATGCTCCCAAGGTTCAGTAGCCCATGAGGCGTAGAAAAGTGAATCTAAGCAAGCTGACCCAAGTCCTCTTAATGAGTGCAACATGAACATGCTGGTTCCCAATATCAGTGACACCTTCCATGTCAGATCCTATAGATCCGCCTATTCTTTCTAATGGCTGAAGGTATCTCATGGTGTGAATGTACCAACATTTCTAGAACACAGCTCCTACTGTGAAAGCTGTTATTTCCAAAGTGTTCACAGTTATGAAATCAGTAAAGAGCATCTTTGCACACAGGTAAACCCTCATAATTCCGCTGTCTGTTGTGTTAGCTCTTTTGTTCTCACTCATTGAAAATACCAGCTATAAAATCAACATCATAAATCTACCGATGATTATACTCACATTCTCTTCCTTTAGTCCATCGCCCCAATCCCTGTCCCTCCCAGTCCAAGCATTGAGTTTAAGGGGGTCCCTGGAGTAGCTCCCATGTCCTCCATTGCCTCTTTCAATTTTCCAAAAGTTTATCGAGCTCTCCTATGAACAGTCATGTGAAAGGCACCACGCGAACACCCATCTAGTGAGGGAGAGACACGTGTGCATGGTGAAGGGATGTTCCCTATAGCCATCCTATAACAGGAGCAGAGGCCAGGGGATACTTGATATGCAAAAGAGCAGGGAGGATGGGACAGCATCAAAAGGGAAGTCACAGAGAAGGACATTTGGTTCTTGGCGAGTGTGTTGCATTTGCCAGGTAGACAAGGGGCGGGGGGCCCTCCACATGTGGGACAGAGAAGTGGAGGCTTGCCCATGGCCTCTCTCTCACACACTTATCAGCCTCTTTCTGCCAGTCCTTGGCTGTCTGTGTCTTTCTCCTGGTCTGGCCTGAATGAACATGGTTCTACTTTGGCATATTCCTGAGTTCCTCCTCCTCCTACAGGAAACTGCCCTTGATCTAGTGAGTTGGGGAACCAACCAGTCTTCAGTTCCAAGACTCCTATTGAATAATGCCTTCCTGGTGGCGAGGAAGATGTAACATTTGGCCCTGGGCCTCTCAATTTCCTCTAAGTAGTCTCATGATCTGAGAAGCTTCGCCCAGGCTAGAGCCAGAAGTGTAATCCCATCCTATCCTGTTTGCTTGGTTAGGTTGCTAAACAGGTCTCACTTTATAAGGGGAGAAAAGAGAAGCAGGAAAAAGCCTTCTAAATGACCATGAATTGTTAGAAGCCCTGTCTGGTGCTTAATTTCATTTAATTCTCATGGCCATGGGCCCAGTGGGTGTTAATTTTTAGAGTCAAATCTCAGATTTGCAAAGGGATTTGGCTGAGGTCACACAGCAATTAAGGCATGGTTTAAATCTGTTTTCCAAGTCCCTTTTCTTTGCCCTGCAACTAGCAGGAGGGGCTCCAGTACTCCCAAGCTGAACTGGATTCCACTTCAATCTTGTCCTTTTTACACCAAACCCATCTGGGGGATGGAGTGTGGCATCCACAGCACACCCCAAGTGACAAGTGCAGCTAATGCCATTACTCCCTGTGGCAGAGGAGCCAATCGTTAAGTGGCTATGTATGTGTTGGCCAGGCTGAATGGAGGCTCAGGCCACCAGTTTCGTTACAGAGGCTGGAGATGGCATTTAGTGCAGAGGTACTGAGCCACCAGAGGGCAGTGTCCTAAGGGTTGTCCCCGAAGCTGCAACACAGATGTTGACTGGAACTACCTAGCTTTCTGCATCTGCCCAGACATGGTAACTCAGGCATGGTACTCAGGAGGTCCTAGGAGGCTCCGGAGTAGGGGCAGCCTATGCATTAATCTGCCTTGAGGGCATCTCTGGACAAGCTCCCACTTCCACTTGTAGAGGAGATCTTGAGCTCTGGATTCCGACACACCCGAGTCATTTAACCTCTCAGAGCCTCAGTTTTCCCATCTGACAAATGGGAATAGAAAACACTCAGTTTTTTTTTTTTTTTTTTTTTTTTTTTAACATTAGTTTTCATTCTCCTCTGCCCTCCTTGTCTTCCATGGGAATTCAGTGATTCCATTATGACTAACAGAACCCAAAGCTCAAGCTCTTTCTTTCTTTCTTTTTTTTTTTTTTTTTTTTTTGAGATGGAGTTTCACTCTTGTTACCCCAGGCTGGAATGCAATGGTGTGATTGGCTCTCTGCAACCTCCACCTCCCAGGTTCAGGCTATCCTCCTCCCTCAGCCTCCAGAGTAGCTGGGATTATAGGCGTCTACCACCACGCCTGGCTAATTTTTGTATTTTTAGTAGAGATGAAGTTTCACCATGTTGGCCAGGCTGATCTTGAATTTCTGACCTCAGGTGATCCGCCTGCCTCTGCCTCCCAAAGTGCTGGGATTACAGGCACGAGCCACCGCGCCCACCTGCTCAAGCTCTTTCTAATACATCCCAGGTGCTACTCAGAGTCTGAGCTAATTGGCATCATCTCAGGAAGGACAGGGTCAGGCACAGGGCATTAGAGTCACATAGGGAACTGATGGCATCTTTTTCTGGACCAGAAATCCGGCCCAAGGCCTCCCAGTCTCCCCAGCCTCTTCCTGGGTTGGCCTGCTGGGTCTCTATACGCCTTGCTTTTGGCCTTTATGTCTCTTTTCCGAAACTTATCAGGCTGGAAGCAGAAGTAATTCCAATATGTGCAAGTTTCTATTCCCGTTCCCAGAATACCTACCATGTAAATACAGTGATGCCGACCTTGTCCCCTCCAGCTTCCTTCCTATGCAGGCACTGTTTTCCTGTCCTCGTCACTTCAGCATGGACAGAAGCATTTGTTGGAAAGCAGGAATGGAGCCCGAATTAGGCTGAGATGAGGAAAGGCGTTATTGCCGTGGGTCCTCCTTAAGAAAATCCCAGAAGATAAAGTGGTGCGGGGCGTGCCCTGTGTCTGCCGGTCTTGGCTGGCTGGTGCGCAGAGGTGAACCACCGCGGCTGTAGTGAGGACAGCAGGGGCTCTAACCTCGGCTCTGCTGCTCGTCCTCCAGTGGCGCTCCCTGACGCACATTAGGTGTTCCTCAGAGTCCAGACCTGCCCCCTCCCTCGGTCCCAGCAGGGCTTGCGTTTGGACCTCCTTCCCTCCCCTCTCTCCAGGCACCTTACCGGCAGCTGTTGAGACCCCGTCAGGGCAAGTCCTTCAGGCCTACAGGCAGGACAACTGGGCGAGGCACTGTCTTTCGTGTCCTCAGGGTTCTCCCCATCCTCAGCCCTGTCCCTTGTAAGTGGGCACGCAGCCACCCTCTGATGGAGTGGCTCTCTGGGGAAGAATGGAGCTGCTGAACCTGCCGCGCAGAAACAGAGGTGGGCGGAGCCTCTCGTAGCCCCGTCCTTGTGGGGGTGCTGACTGGTCCTGGTGTCTGGGAATCGTCAGCTCCTGCTACAGCTGCTGCCTCTAGGGGTTTGATTCTGAGATCGTGTCTTAGTCACGCTCCCAGACCTCTGTCAGAAAAGATCCCTGAGATCAAGGACCCATGAGCGTCAGGTAAAGTGGGCGACCCCACCCACTGTGCCGGGCTCTGCGTTTGGAGGACAGCCCTCCATTCTGGTGCAATGGAATGGCTACAGCGGCCACTTCACCTTCTTAGGCCTCAGCTTCCCGTCCATAAAACGAGAACCTGATTGTTAAACTCTGATTCCTTTTTGGCATTTTAAGAGCATCTTTGGGATCAATAGAAAGTCTATTCTGTGTCAAAAGAGACTTTCATATTCCAGGACCTAGTGCTTTCCAGCCTGGGAAGTCTCAAAAAGAGCCGTAGAGGCCAAGAGCACAGAGGACAGCGGCCCAGGAGGCCAGGGCAGGAGGACGTGGGGAGACTGGGAGGCATCGGGCTGGACTTCCCCAACCCTCCACCTTCCCCCATGCTGCCCTCACACAGGGTTCTTGAACTCCCCGCAAAGTCCCTTCAGGAGCATCCCAGAGAAGGAGGCCTTCGTCCTCCCTGGCCAACGGAACCTCCTAACAGAATTGCTTGGGCAGTGCTCACTGAGCCCTGGATCATGCCCTCATCACAGCCAGTGGCCCCAAACTCACTATTGGCTCCAGCCATGCCAGTAGGGGGAGGGAATTCCTTGGAGGTTTGGCCTTGCACTCCGAGGGAGCTGGGAGCCAGAAGGGACTCAGATGGAGGGGCAGGGAGAGGCCCAGAGACATCTACTTCCCTCTTGACATCATGGCAAAGCTCCTTCCCAGACCCAGTATAGGAGTGGTAAAGGGAGAGACCCAGAGAGAGAAAGGAAGGGGAGCGAATGGAGGGGCAGGAAAGGGAGGGCCTCAGCGTACAATGCACCATAGGTGCCTTTGGCCCCAAACCAACTTCCTTAGTGAGCTTCTGGAGCCTGGCCAGGCTGGAAAACATTGCTCCGCTGGTGGGTAAGGAGTGGGCACCTAAAGAGACAGTGATTTCATTTCTCTTGAGAGGCCTCACTTTCACTTGGGAACCTTGCAGGTGGCTAGAGCAGGAATGGCTGAGGAGCCGGTTTCAGGTTCTCAATGAATGAACAGTGGTCTGGGGCTTTTCTCAAAAAGTCTAAGATTTTCTTACACAGAACAAAGACTTCAGGGTAACAAAGGCAATTCAGAGTTGGGAGGTGGGGGTGGGAGGGTTTCCTCTGACTCAGGAACATGAGACTTAGATGAAAGAACATGGCTGGCTAGCTGCATGGCCCTGGGCAAGTTGCTTAGCCTCTCTGGTTCTCAATATCTTGTCTGACCAATGGGGCTGAAGCTTCCTTACAGGGTTACTGTAACGAGTCAGCAATGACAGATGTGGTAGTGTGTCTGAAAGCACCTGGCACATTGTAGGTGCTCAACAAATTGTTCTTTTTCTCCCGATACTGTAGTGTCATGTCACGTTTATACTTACCTATCAACCCTCCATCCAGGTATCTATCTGTCTGCCTGTCTGTCTGTCTGTCTGTCTATCTATCTACCTACCTACCTACCTTCATCACCATTATCTACCTATCTATCCTGTGTTTAATGTTTCCGATCATATTGTTAGTGCTTTCATCGCAAGGGGCTTGAATTATACTTCTATGTAGACATCCAATAAGTATGTTAAGAGACTGCCCCCGGTGGCCAGGGAAAGCCAGATCTCCCACTTTCCAACAATGTTTCAGTCTAGTGCCAGCTTCTTCTTAGCTTTCCTTTAGATCAAGTGAAGAAATGCCTGGAGGCATTTCCAGGAAAATTTCCAGGAAAACTAGGTTCCTCTTCAGTATTCCCAGGCATTCTTGCTCCATGGCTCCAGAACCCCTAGCAACCTCTACACAATCCAGGTCACCTCGTTTCCAAATGTGACCTCTGATCTCCGGAGGCCCGAGTCAGTGTTATTTCAGGATGCTCAAATGTACTACCCACAGGATACTGATCTCAGTATCTACCTCTTTCTCCACATGGTCGTACACTCTCTTAGAAGGTGTCCCAGAAATACAAAGGCGAGAGTACATAGATATGTCTTGCCTTGTACCTTAATCACAATGCATACAGGATACTAAATCATAGTAATACCATACATTTGTACAGCGTTTTGCAGTTTTCAGAGCTTTTGTGCATATGCTTTATCTCAGCCACATAATAATCCTGTGAAGCAGGCAGGGCTTTTTTAAAAAAAGTTGCCATTTTGTAGATAAGGAAGCTGTGCTAGTCAGCCAGCTACTAAGGGCTGGAGTCAGCATGGACTGAAATCTAGGTCTTTGAATTTCAAATGAGTCCATTCAATAATAGTGGGGAGTACAGTGAAACAGAGTTCAACTAGAGCAAGGGACAGAGCAAACCTTTGGATCTTCCCCTTGCCTGGAGTGCTGTAGCGAGATAAGATTACTTTTTGCAGCTGTACTACCCAGGAAATGCTGCCTGTCAGAACGGAATACCCCTCCGACCTGTAATCCCAGCTGGAAATTCTAGGACAATCTCAACCCTCTCATCTTCCTTCTTCCCCCACCCTCAACACCTGATGGACCCTCACTCTTGGTATGTCATTCTGTCTTATCTCCCAATATCTGCCTCAGCATCTCCTAATCTTAGAAATGGGCATTTCCAAAAAGAGGCCTGAAAGGCTCTGTGCTAGATGAGCCTTTGAATTACAGGGAGAAAATATTAGAACTTCTATGGCTTCAAACAATGGGAGAGATATTGCACTTTACTCTTATTTGCTGTGTTCGTGGATACTGGCTGCTCACCAGTGTGATGGGAAGACTGTCCAAGGTCATGTACAGCCGGGCCAAGCAACATGAACCTGAGGATGGAGCTGGGCTTTAAAACATGGAGGGTTTGGTCTTGCAATCCTTTGCTTTGGGGCCAGGTTAAATGGATTGATGATTTGTTTTTACCAAATTAACCCTAAATTGATGCGTGGCTTAAAAAGATTTTTACAAAAAGAAACTACTGAAAAGAAGATAACATGAATAATGCAAACAGCAAGAAAATGGTAGGACTGACACTTCACTCATCTCAACCTAATTCAGCAGGAGTTTTCAAACTCCTGTTAAAAATAGGAAAGTGATTGATCAACATCAGAGAAGATGGACATTTCCTAACTGAATTTAGAGAAAATTTACATAATTGGTAAGATAGAAAAATTATTGTTTTAGCAAGCACAGCCAATGTAGTGCCTTTTCTATTTGGATCTCTGCACTTTAGTGAGGAATCACTTTTTCAATTCTGTAACTGATTAGAACTAAATATTGAAATAATTTGAACTTAAATCTAGTCTTCTAAATATCCTAATGCAGAAGCTTAATATGAAAATAATACAGACATGATAAAATGTAACAACCACATTGCATTTACTACAAATATTAGTTTTCATGGTAATTTGTTTCTGGGTCTTCAAAAAGTCTACTGAGCCAATGAACAAATGCCAGCAATGGCATCTGCACAGCTGGGTAAAGCAGTGTATTATGACCTCCTTATATTTGCTTCTAATTTCTTTGTGTGTTTTTGAGATGGAATCTCGCTCTGTTGTCCAGGCTGGAGTGCAGTGGTGTGATCTCAGCTCACTGTAACCTCCACCTCAGCAATTCTCCTGCCTCAGCCTTCAGAGTAGCAGGGATTACAGGTGTGTGCCACTGTGCCCTGCTAATTTTTGTATTTTTAGTAGAGATGGGTTTTTACCATTTTGGCCAGGCTGGTCTTGAACTCCTGACCTCAGGTGATCCACCCACCTTGGCGTCCCAAAGTTCTGAGATTACAGGTGTGATCCCTCATGCCTGGTCTGCTTATAATTTCTAATAATAACAAATATGTACCTTCCTCTCCTTACACTGTACACCCCCCCCCACCCCGGCCACACCCCACCCTCGCATTGCCCCAGCTCCAAGGCCTAAACCCCTAGATTCTAGATATGCTTGAAGGACTAAAGAAAAAGGCAATGGCACGTGGTGAAAACTCATTTCTCAGCGATGTCTCTGCAGAGGAGACAAACTCTGCAGGTAAGGCAGTGTTTTCCAAGGTGTGGTCTGCCCAGAGATGCTTCTGTCAGAATCACCAGGGGTGTTTGTTAAAATACATGTTCCTGAGCCTCTCCCCAGACCTACCAAATCAGAGTATCAAGAAATGACAAGACATGAGGCCTAGGCATCTGAATTTCAATCAGCTCCCCAGATAATTTTTATTCATTCTAAAATTTGAGGGCTATGGCTATAAGGTAAATCTCTCATTTCATTCACCATTGATTCAGTTAATAAATATTACAGAATGCCTACTCATTTCAGACCAGGCACTGTGCTAAGTGCTGGTGGAATACTGCCCCTTCAGTCACACCTGGCCCTTCCTTTGAAACTTACAGTTCAGAGGTGGAGCAGATAATACTTAAGAATCATATTTAGGCTGGGCACAGTGGCTCACGCCTCTAGTCCCAGTACTTTCGGAGGCCGAGGCGGGCAGATCACTTGAGGTTAGGAGTTTGAGACCAGCCTGGCCAACATGGTAAAACCCTGTCTCTACTAAAAATATGAAAATAAGCCAGATGTGGTGGCGCATGCCTGTAATCCCAGTTACTTGCGAGGCTGAGGCATGAGAATAGCTTGAACCTGAGAGGTGGAGGCTGCAGTAAGCAGAGATTGCGCCACTGCAGTACAGCCTGGCTGAAGAGAGTGAGACTCTGTCTCAAAAAAAGAAAAGAAAAGAAAGAAAGAAAGAAAGAAATAAACATATTTAACTAAAAAGTGTGATAAGAGCTCTGAAATACAAAAAACGGAGCAGGGCTGGCTAGCTTAGATGGAGCGACCTAGAAATATCTCTTTGAGAGGTGACATGTAAACTGATTTCTGGAGGGTGGGAAGGAGTCGGCCATGTGTTGAGGAGGGCAGGGGAGGCAGGGCAGGGCCTGGGGACAGAGCTCTCTTGGGGGTTGCAGGAAGGCTGGGCAGTGGCTG